ACATAAGCATGAAGTGGTGTAAAATAATTTTTCACTCCCTCATGAGACAACACATTGACATCCGTCTTGCAGCCCGTTATCCCTCTACAGGACATCTTGTATCAGTATCCAGTGGCTATTCTACATTCAAGCTTTGATATAAATCAACAATGGAGTGGTGTAAAATGATATTTCACCCCTCTCAAAAATTGACAATTTCCATCTTATATTACAACCCCAAAACCCCCATGAAAACGTCTTGCATGTGTTAATCCAATTTTGTTTATGTACAAATTAACTCAATAAATAAATGCAAGACGGTGTATAATTAAATATTTTCCTCGTTTATGATGACATTTTCTGAAACATTTTTTTCAGCGAAATCCCCCACTCCCATCTATTTCCCTGCACAAGTGCGTTTCAGTACCATGTTATCTAACTGATGATAACAATGCAAGACGGTGTAAAATGATTTGATGAAATAGGCCTCGTATCCCGTACTATTTGCAGATGTGATGGTTCCACTTGGTGTAGCAATGTCTGCCCGAATTGCAGAAGTTTCAGTAGATAAAAATTGACGACATGAAGGGCCTGGTTGATCTAAAACAGAAATTTCGTTACCAATGATTCTACCAAAAAAGTTTGGATACATGCATTGTAGAATATGGTGTACCTGTATGTAACCAGGAATATTTTAATTATTGTGTCTCCTGATAAAGGAATAAACATTTAAAAAAAAGAAATGAATAATATTAGCTTTGTTCCAACACAGCAGAAAACCGTACAATGTACCGTCACGATTCTGCGCAGAAACTAAAATTGTTATACTGAGTGGTTTCGAAACCGTTCATGGGACGATTTTTTGACGTGTTGCAACAGAGTTATTATGTTTACCTACCTATGTCAATCATAGTTGCGAAACTAATTTCTGAAGACGTTTTACGGGAGGAGTAAGTGAAAATGTAAGTACGTCTTTCTCACATATATCTAGTATTAACTTACCTTCAGGGAGATACAGCAAAAGCGCAGCATTCCATGTGAGTCCTCGTCTGGCTTTTGGATCGCCAACAATAAATTCTCGAGGAAAATGTCTTGTTCACGCTCTATAATTATTATAAGCCTTCTCGACACTGAGGCTATTTAGTAAAGGATTGCGAACTTTTTCTAGCCAATGTTTCATTTTTTCGGCATCTTTTGGAAACTGGAAATAGCTGCTGTATTTGTCGCCGCACCCCGGAACACAGCATTTCTGATGCTTTTCAATTAACAAACTGGGAGAAGACATTTTGAGATAATAATTATTGATAATTGATAGGTAATTGATAATTCTAAATGTTGGGAGAAGTTCAAAATTTAAATTTTGACGACTGGAAATGACAAAATAAACTTCAAATCTTGGCGCACGGTCCGGCAGGAAAAAGAAAACTTTAATAGGTTGATTGAAGCGCCTCTAGTGATTGGAGGGGAAAGCTGAAACGACTAGACTGACGTCTCTCATAAGACTTACATTTCTAAGGGGGGATGTCGTGTGAATAAAACATACATGCCAAAATGTGTCATTCGCTACTTTGACGTTTTTACCTGACATGTTTTCATTGTTGCCAGCAAAGGTAAATAAATTAGAGTGAGGGAAATCGGTGAGGGAAGTCGAATAGGGAAATCGGTGAGGGAAATCGAAGAGGGAAGTGACACAGGTAAAGTGTCACTTCCAAATTTTTAAAAAGTCAGTAATGACAAGATTACATATATGATTGCAAATAAAATTACTTACATAGTTTTTAGCAGTAAATACACACAATCAATTATAAATGTGACAACGCCCAATTTTGAATTAGGTTTTCGTTGAAAAAATTCGATCTGGATGAGCACTGAAAATAGATTTAAAAAGATAAAAAATGTACTGTATGCTATATAATAAAAATAATATACCTACTTACAATTTCAAAGACACGTTTCAAGAGCCCAAACCTCAAAGTGGCCAAATTTTGATTCTATTATTAAACTAAAAATAGAACAACGTATTATTATCAGGGTCTTTAAGAATAATGAAAAAATTACTTACATAGTTTTTAGCACTAAATACACACAATCAATTATAACTGAGGTAACGCCCAATTTTGAATTAAGTTTTCGTTGAAAAATTCGATCTGGATGAGCACTGAAGAAAAACGTTGTGTCACCTAAGGACGTTAAAATCTAACTAAAATTTGAAAATGAATAACAAGTACCAGGCCAGCCAGCTGCGTTTCGTTATCGTCGCAGGAAATGCGGCTTCCGTGTGATAACAGGTTTAAGCAAGTTCGCACAACTTGTTGTTCTTGTTGTTTATGAGAACGGTAGAAATTATAATTATTTTAAAAATAATATTTGGGGCTTGCCAAAAAATGGAGCCCAAATTTCTATGGTTTTCGAATGATGATGATGATGATGATGTTGCATTGGAATAATTGGTAGGTAAAACGAGACATAAATTATTGTCTAATCGTGGCCAGACTTTAGTATAGAAAAAAAATGGGGCCACGGAAAATCGGGGGGGGGGGGCCAGTACGGTGTATCTTATTACAAGTCACGAGTTATGGGGTACCAAATTACCAGTATGAGATATGTGGTATCAAATTTCAGGTTATGAGTTTTAGGTTATATTGGTTTCATATACGGATAATGGGGCCGCGAATCTAGCAGCGGAGACAAGGTCTGATTGTACGATGCGATGTATCTTGTTATAAGTAACGAGTTATGGGGTACCAAATTTGGGGTTACCAGCACGTTGTACAAATTTCAGGTTACCAGCATGAGATATCGGGTATCAAATTTCAGGTTATGAGTTCTACGCTACGTGCGCCTCAAAATTTGGGGCCTGTATTGGTTCCATATACGATGGATAATGGGGCCGCGGGTCTAGCAGCGGAGACAAGTGGCCCCTTTCCGATTTTTCCCTAGATTTAGGGAAATTTTATTGGCAACGTCGCACATTATTAGTTTCGACAACGTCGCACGTACCTGTCATCTCGTATGGGGTATCTCATTTCAGGTTATGAGTTCATGTAAATGGGGCCCCCGAAAAAAAAATGGGGCCACGGGTCTAGCAGCGGGGACACGCATGGGGCCCCTTTGCTATCGTCACTTGGGTTAGGTCTATTCAAATTGGGGCTTGCCAAAAAATGGGGCCCACGAAAAAAATGGGGCCACGAAATGGGGCACAGGCCCACCTGGGTTAGGCCCCTTCAATTTGGGGCTTCTCTGATGACGGGCGCGGGCCCCAGAACGAGTGTGACGTCACTTCCGCTGTAGAACTCTCCTTGTTCCTCTACTAATGGCCAGTTCCAACCAACACACAGAACCTGTAATTTGGCACCTTATAGGTTAAATTGCCCTATAAAGTACTCTTTTCAACGCGTAATTGGCCAAGCTTGGCACTTTAAGGTGAACGTCACTTTTTCGTAATGGCTCTTTCAAAAACTGTTTATAGAACAGATTTTAGAAGGTAAAGGTGCTTTTCAAGAATAAAGTAGGCTTTTTCGTGATTATGGAACTGGCCGTTAGATAGGTTTCAAAATCGGCAGGTGGAGTACTTTTTGGATTCTGAACAACTTTTTCCTATAAAATTTTTTGATATCTAGTCAAATTTACCCGTTTTTCGACATCAATATCAACTTTATTCAAAATTCCCACTAAACCGGTAATCGCATTACATGTGTCATAATCGATTTTTTGGTTATCGAACATGCCCTAACGATCCTCAAAAAAAGTTTTTTGAAAAAAGGGATAATTAAGAATTTTTCCACATGTGCCCAACTTCATGGCGCACACTGTACCTATATATAATATGCTCTTGTCTTATTGTATAAAGCTTTTTTGGCGTACAAGTGTATCGGCGTGAAAATATCAAAAATAGGTTTGTGATAGAGCAACCATTGAGAGCAACACACATATTTTCTGTCCCTAAATCAGTTTTCACAGATTCACAAAAACAAAAATATTGAAAGATGTAACTAGTAGTAGGAGAAAGCGGTTGATCCGACTAACCCGTTTCACACGCTAGAAATTTTTTAAATAATATTTTATTATTGGTCAATTAAGAAAGTAAATAGATAACGTTCTGGCAGGCATCTCGTGGTTGCGTCATAATCCCTTCAAGTGTGACGATAGCAAAGTTGTTATAGGGTCAATCATTTATTACCTGCTTCCACAAGGCTGAAATTTTAAGCGAATATTCTTTTATTGATTCAAAAAGTATATGTAAATAGCCAGCCTTTTCTAGCGGTTGCGAGTGTCTACCAGACGAGTATATAATAGTTATAATAGTCATGATGATACTCGATGGGAGTGCTAGGAATAAATGAGCATTTCCGAGTTATGAAGTAGAAAATCAGAAATTCCGAGTTGTAACGTAGTAAATCAAAAATTCCGAGCTGTGACGTCAGAATTATGAACTAAGAAATCGGAAGACAGATTGCACGACCGGGCTTCCGTACTATCTTGCTTTGTCAAATTCGATGGATCAAAGAGTTCGGAGAAAAACAATAGAGTTCGGGTATTGATTTTAAATAGTGTACCGTCGTTTGGATTGTCTCGGAACACTTCCGCAGAGATATGTGACGTCAACGCCTAGACAGGGAGCAAGAACGACGGAGAGCGCTCTCGACGGAACGATTATCGACTTTCCGCGTGTGGCTAAATTCAGCTGCTGTAGGGTGTAGGCACCGTGGTGGAATGGTAGAACAAGCAGTGTTGTTAAATTAACCAGGATTTGACAAACTGTGGTTTGACATTGACATTAGTGAATTTTAATCACCGCATCCGTGGCGGTGCACCATTTTGGTGAATTTAGCAACACGCGGTTTATGGTCGTGATCGTATCGTCGTCATGTCACAGCTTGTCATCGAAGTCAGAAACCCTCTGTGCGTTTCAATTTTGGAAGTTTTTTGTCGATATAATGTAGATTATAGCGCATCGAGAACATATCGATATATTGTATCGATATTGATAAGCCCTCTCCTACTCCATAACCTCACAAGTCACAAACCGTGCGTTCGTTATTTTGGTCTGAGTTCTCCGAGCTTGACTTTACCGTTCGTTTATTCAAAAAGTGTACTCGGTGTATCCTCATTCGCGTTCGTTTATTAAAATTTCTGGCACTTTTATACAGCGTTCAACTGCTCTGTTCGCTCGCTGGTCACGTGATTACGGCTCCGCTCTGCACGCTCTGCTCTTCGAGCAAAATACCGAACGCAAGGAAACTACGTGTTATTTGTTGTTGTTTGGTTTTTAAATTTCTTGCTGGCATCGGATGCATTTATTTATTTTGCGGTGTTCTTTTTGAATTAACTACTTAGAAGTTTTGTGTTTTTCTCCGATAAAATTCCAATTTACTTAGTGGGAAAAAATGAAAATTGCTAGTCCTAGTGAAATGTCGTTGATGTGCAGACTTTGTCTAATGAAAGATAAAAAGCAAGTGAATATTTCAATTTTCGAAGATCGGAGTGATAATAAACTATTAGTTAAAATTAGTGCCTTGTTACCCATTAAGGTAAGTTGCCATCATTTACTTCCTTTACTAACTTATTACTTACTTGCAAACTTTTACGATAATGCAAGGCAAGGTCTGACTGAGGCATCATGTATTGTTTATCAACAAATAACAATAATTTATCATTATTTGATTTACTACTAGCAATTTCTAAATATTCGTATGGTAAACATAACAATGTTATGTGGGGCTTTTGTAGATGTAACTTGGCTTAAATGTTTCCATTCGGGTTTCCATTGTTTCATTGCCCTCGAGAATTATCTCGATAATTTGCCTCCAAATCTTGGGAAGCTCAGCGTACATAAGAATATAAATGGGTCTGGAAAAGTATAGGTATGTCCGATTTTTCGATTTTTTTCTTTTTTGAGAGAAAGACAAACTCATATAGAACGCATAAAAAAATAAAAATCAGTGGATGAAGCATGTTTAGATTTAAAAAAAAAAACGATTTGGTAACTTATAGGTCCAAATAAAAACGGCATTTTTTTTTTTTTTGTTTTTTGAGAAAGATTCCGGTCCATAACATTTTAGGTCCACAGAAACCAAGAATTTTTCAATAAGAAATAAAACATTTTTTTAAACGAAACAGAGCAAATCTAAAAAAAGGTTTAGTAAAGATTTAGTAAAGGAGCTTCACACAAATATCATGTTTCTTCTTTATAGACAGTTTAGTTTGATCCCAAAATACTATTTTATGATGAAAAATGTTGGCGCATAACTATTTATTAAATAATTTTTTTTTTCACCATAAAATTAAAGGACTAATTCCAAATAATCACCTTTAAGTACTAATTTAGTAAAGGTGCTTCAAAAAAATATCATGCTTCTTCTTTATAGATAGTTTAGTTTGATCCCAAAATATTGTTTTATGATCAAAAATGTTGGCGCAAATAACTATATAAATTGGATTTTATAAATATTGAATGAATCCTCTTCTGGACCTTTGACACAGATCAATATATAATATCCATTCTTATCGGCTTAATATCACAATCGCTTTGGTTAGCAGATAAAAATTTAATAAACATGGAAAGCATAATGTGGTAGATATTCGAACGGAGAGAAGAGCTAAGTGTTCACACCATTTTTCGGAAAAAAAACATTATTGAGTAATGATAAAGCGTATAATAATACCTATTTAAATGGAAAGAATAATATTCTGTAAAAAATTAAAAACATCTAAAAACAATGTCTGGGGCCAAATGCAAGTTTGCTTTAAACGAACAGAACAATTATGGCTATTAACAAGTACCTACTTATGTTTTTTTTTTTTTTTTTTTTTTTTTTTTCAGATGATCTTTTCATACAATCAGCTCCATCCGCACTTCTTTGAATTGTATTATGAACCGAATAACTATATTTACCAGTTTCGTGGTTAAAAATCGCCTTACTGCGACATACCTATTATTAACCATAGCCATATAAATAAATAAATAAATGTTTATTTTACGGACAAGCCATTTTACAATATACAGTGTGATTTTTTAAGTGTGCAACATATGGGGATTTTTTTTACTAATAGCACAACCCAAATACAAACAAGGCCAAAAGTTGGTGCATGTCTGATAATCATATTAGGTACACTTAGAATGGTTGCAAGTCAAACAGCATACAAGGTAGCACAAACAATATCAAAGCTAGTACTGTAAAGTACCCTTATTTTAGAAAATTCAGCAAAATGTAATAGAGAAAAGTTGTTTGGAATTAAAAGTTATGCCTAAATACCAAAACATAGCCTCCTAAGATTTTTTTTATTTTTTTTCCAAAAAAATCTATAATTTCTATATTTTTTCTATTTTTTATTTCCGCCCTTAATACTTTCAAAAATCAATTAAAAACAAATCAATTTTACACAACTTTGTTCAAATTCAAGCAAATTTGTAAAATTACCTTAGATTTTTAATTTTTTCTGGAATCACAAAATTCATGTTTGTTGCAATGATATTCAACACAACTTTAAAATCTCGCAATTTTTTTTTTTAACAAGTTAAAACATTACTAATGACAATAGCCATATTGAAAAAACTCTCCTTAAAGTGCAAAAGTTTTATTTTATTTAAGTAAATATTAGTAGAATTTTGATATTTTTTGAGCCACCCTGTATGCTGTTTGACTTGCAACCATTCTGAGTGCACCTAATATGATTATCAGACATGCACCAACTTTTGGCCTTGTTTGTATTTTGATTGTGCCGAGGATTGTGCTATTACTAAAAAAAATCCCATATCTTGCACACTTAAGTAATGACACTGTACATACAGAGTGGTCCATTGAAAAGTATCCACCTAGATTTACCGGTTTTTGTGAAATTTAAGAAAAAAATGCTCGGACACGTGTATTTTGTTTCGGAGGGGGAAATATTCTCTGCATATTTTTAGCCCTGTCACTTTCAACCCCTAACGGGGGTGGGCTCCAACCCCTAACGGGGGTGGGCTCCAACCCCTTAATCTTTAATGGAAAGATGGGTCGAGTGATAGCTCGTTTGAAAGGGCACGAAATTAGCTTTCCAATGGTACCCTGTTTGTCGGATTTTCCTTCGACAGTTAACGCGAAAACGACGCTAAGAGCCTCACTCCTGTATTTTTGGAATCAATAAAATGAAGGACTTAAATTTCAGTTATCGCGATTCAAAAGAGCTACAATCATAATTGAAACTACTTATTTAAGTAAAAACTCATTGTTTCAACGCCAAGAAATATCCGCCCTATTTTAATACAAAAAGCCAAACACGACAAAATAGGTAAATGTTTTGTTATCTTTTATCAGAATAAAATGCATTCATTTATTGTGTGCGTTTTTTTTTGTGAAAATAAGTAAGCAGATACACACTTGGTAAATGAAGGAAGAGAATTTAGGTTTATTCCGTTCATTGATTTAGTTTGGTTGATTTCGAGACGATCTAAATTTTACTGACAAAAATGATTCATTCCATTGCAGAACGAGTGGAAATTATCAAGCTTTATTTTCAAAATAATAGTTGTGCTAGGCTTACTGCTCGTTTATTTAATGACGCTCATCCCAACGAAAATGTCAATTATTCGTATGTGGCGAAATTAGTGCAAAAGTTTACCGATACTGGATCTGTTGCTAATGTGAAACGCCAGCCGCAACACAACAGAAATGAAGCTGTGGAAGTAGCTGTTTTGGGACATGTGGCATTGGATCATACCCAAAGTACCGGTCAACTGGCTCAAGTCTCAGGTGTCCCCCGTTCGTCCCTATTAAGGATTTTAAAAGTGCACAAATTTCATCCATACAAAACTAGATTAGTACAGGAACTTAATGAGGATGATCCTGATAGAAGGATGCAGTTTTGTGAAGAAATGAGTCAGCGTTTAATGCAAGAACCGGACTTATTATTTAACATTTGCTTCTCTGATGAGTGTACATTTTATTTAAATGGTACATTCAATAGACATAATTGCCGTTACTGGGATGATAGTAATCCACATTTATTCCGTGAGGCCCATACCCAACACCCTGAAAAAATAAACGTGTGGTGTGGCATCTTAGGAAATCATATTGTAGGACCACTTTTTATCCCTGGTAATTTAACTGGCGAAGTGTACCTAAACATGCTTGAGGATGCAATTGACCCTTTGATAACAGAAATAATAGAAGATGACCTAAATCATAATGTTGATCGGCTTCATTTCCAACAAGATGGAGCGCCTCCGCATTACGTTGCTGCTGTTAGAGATTTTTTAAATTTACGTTTCCCTGGACGGTGGATTGGAAGAAGAGGCGCAATTGAATGGCCTGCCAGGTCACCCGATTTATCGCCTTTAGACTATTTTTTGTGGGGACACTTGAAAAATAAATGTTTTGCCACGCAACCCGATTCTATAGAAGATCTTCGCCAGCGAATAATAGCTGAGTGCAGAAGCATAACACCTGATGTGCTGCAAAATGTCCGAAACAGATTTGAACAAAATTTATATTATTGTATGGAAGTAAATGGGTCACATTATCAAAACTTGTTAAATTAACGTTATACTAAAAAAATTAACAGTTTATGTTTTCGAGAACATCGTATTCTTAAATAACTGACCATGATTGAAAGCTAATAAAGAGAATTCATCAAATAAATATTGTTACTAGTTATTTTGTCTCGAAATAAGTGAAATTTAAGTCCTTTGTTTTATTGATTCCAAAAATACAGGGGTGAGGCTCTTAGCGTCGTTTTCGCATTAACTGTCGAAGTAAAATCCGACAAACAGGGCACCATTGGAAAGCTAATTTCGTGCCCTTTCAATCGAGCTATCACTCGACCCATCGTTCCATTAAAGATTAAGGGGTTGGAGCCCACCCCCGTTAGGGGTTGAAGGTTACAGGGCTAAAAATATGCAGAAAATATTTACCCCTCCGAAACAAAATACCCGTGTCCGAGCATTTTTTTCTTAAATTTCACAAAAACCGGTAAATCTAGGTGGATACTTTTCAATGGACCACTCTGTATAAAGGGACTGGATGCTCGTCCGATAATCGGAATGATAGTGTTTTTGTTTCTATTCCGATTATCGGGCTACTAGTTTCTTTTGTTATTATTCTGCAAAATAATTTAAAAATTATTTTCTGACTATTAGGATTACTCATATTATTCCGAAAATTATTTATGGTTTGAAATAGGTTAGGTTCCCTTAGATTATGTTGATTTGTGCAAGTATTAGAAAGTAGAATTAGAATTATTACAACACTATATATTCAAAAAACCTGTTAGAACAAGGGAAAAGTCTCAATTTTTATAATGAAGTAGAGTCTTGAAGACAGTTGAAAAGGAGTTATTTATATATCCCTATATAAAAGAGATGCTGAAAAATTGCAAACAATTGCAAAAAGTTGTCCCAAAAAATGCCAACAGGCTAAGGTAGGATTGGTATACTACTCGGTATACTACCTAGTAGAATATACTTGCCATCAAGGTGGTAAACTCGGTGGTAAAAGATTTAAACTCGGATTTAAATCACTTATAGGCCAGTGCAAATAATTTTGAATTTGCA